GTGTATGTTTTGAAATTGGTTAGGCAGATGGAATACCTACTTTCTTAATTTGTTTATTGATCAGAAACATTGGCTCTGAAAGAAAGAATTCTCTTCTTAAATTCTAAAGGATGCAGTGGACTGTTGTGAATTTGCGCGTTAAGGGTAAAAGCTTCTTTGAGATATACAATTCATAAATAGAACATGCTGTCAATCGCAGCCAGCTTGTTTGTTCTTGGGAACCAATGGTCTTTAAGGGCTAGATCACGCTTTTTAAATAAAAGTATAAATAATATGTTTAAACATAAAAACAAAAAGTTTTCACACAATTAATGTAAAAAAAAATGTGTGACTGTTAGTTCACTAATTGTGGCAGCAAAAATGGCGCGCGCATGTCACAACAGTGACGCTGCAGCTGCACTTCTAAATATTGTACGAAAATTAGTAGTAGCAAGGGTGTAGCGCCATAGTGGCGATACTGCAGCACTTCTATAAGCGTGTAATGTGGAGGCACCATTAGAATTTTGCTGATAGTATGGACATACGGTACAACATTTAGAAGCATTAGAGCTCTTTGTGATAGAGTTCATTCAGACAAATACTGCTATCTTACCCATTTCTGCCGCCAAGTAGTAATGTGAGCATTACTGCGTTCTGGTTTGGAAGGATAGGGGTGCTGGTGACTTTACAGGCACATGGGCCTTGTCAACTTGTGTCTCAGGATGACTGCCTCTCAGATCTTTGCGATTTAAAGTTTTGAGTGGCACTGCAACTATTATGGTCAGGCGTGTCGCTAACCACCAGGTCAACGACTTTTTTTTTTTTTTTTTTTTTTTTATGACATTAAGTAACTTGAAAAGACTTGTTCGTCCCGTCACATGATATTACAAAAAAAATACATTAATACCGTCACGCCTTTCACCTTCTGAGCGCTACGCTCCTGACAAACCTCTTTCGCCTCCTCTAGCATGAATCTCTTCATACGTGTCCCGGTTTATTTTATTCTTGGTACTTGGTACTACAGACCTCCACTTGCTACGTTCCCGACATACTAGTTCCTTTTTCCACTAGCATTAGTTAGCACTAAACAAACATTCATACAATACCATCGCTACTAACACCGAATTGAAAAAGACAGGCTTACAATGCTACAAAGTAATCCTGCTTAGCATTCTATTTGTGAAAACAAAAACTATTCTCACTCTCGTTTGTCTGTAACACATTGTCTATGGTCGAGCATAGACAAAAGAGCAGACATGCAGTCTGTCTTGTCTATGACCATTCTTCATTTGTTATTACAGGGGTACGCTGTAAATTACGGAGTTTCTCTTACAACCACAACCCAGACAATAACCAGTATGAAGAATTTCCTCCTGACTGTCTTCTTTGAGAAGACTCATGCTTAAAAGTGGATATATACAAATTAACGCAGCTAATAATAATAATAACAATAATATCCATAAAAAAAACAATAATTGTAAAACAAAATTCCATTTACACAAAACATGCCAAATTAAATTAATTTAAAATTAAATTAGAATAATCATAGTTTCGAATTTAATAAATACGCGATTCAAAATTTATTGGAAAGCCCATCTCTGGACGTAGGCCATTAATTAACGCAGATTTTTTTTTTTCATTTGGAGTAATGTTTAAATTTACTTTTTGGTCATTTTGTGTTTTTTTTGTAAACAGCCATGTTTATTTACTAATATTATACTCCCCGAATTTTGTGAAAAAAATAAACAAAAAACAACATTCGAAAAATAAAAATAAAAATCGAATTTTTGTAAAAATAAAAAACAAAATAAAAACTTGTTCACAAATTAAGTTGTCATAGTGTTTATTGGCTTGAAGGTATCGATTACAATTTTAGCGTATCCTGTAGAATACACTTGAAGCAATCACATCGGAAAATGTTTCATAAAGCTTAAAAAAACTTGATTCTTTGGAATTTAGATGCAGGCTGATCGTATCAATAGCATACACTATATTGAATATGAATAATACGGCTTACTAGAAGGCTCCTTTCGTGCACCTCATGTTTACTGTGTCGTAAATACTCAATACTTTCGTGAAGTGACAAAATGTCGTATTTAACACTAACTGGACACCACGAAAGAATATCAAGTATCAAATACAAAACATATTACTATCAAATATTTGAAATGCCCGTTACCAAATACATTTTGAGGTAGTGATTGAAATATTTATTTTATTGAATGTCATAACATTCATATATATTTTTTGTGAAAATACTCCACTAGTTTTGTTATTGTTATTTATTACAAAGATAAACAAAAACGAACCAATTCAAATACTGCCTCATGGCCCGCTTAGATGTGCCATTATACTGTTATAAACTACTTAAGCATATGTTTATTTCCCAACTCTTACGCACGAAGTACTGACCATAGTTCACAAAGTACCCCTTTTAGAAAAACAAAATAAAAGCAATTCATCATCGAATTTTCTTAAGCTCCAAAACACGCGGAGCAATTTCAACTTGACTTATCGTGGAGTTAATGATTTTTATAATTTCTAAAGGGATTACATCTAATACTGTATGTTTGTCTGTTTAGGAACTTGACTGATGGCTCTGTGTAGTGATGAAAGCGAACGTGATTTTTAACTGTGAAGTAGGACAGAATGGCCTAGTTCCGCAGCCGATAAAAACATAAAGTTACTTTTACATAACAGAAACCGTTCCTTTTCAGATCATTCAACAAAATGACATATCTGTGAAGCAACGCATTGTAAAATTAAAAAGGTTGTCTCATTTGTGCCCTCATAGAATGCGGAGCTTTTATTAAATGTGTATAATAAAAATTCTTTTAGAAAAAAAGTTGTAAAACCACTAATAACAATATTTAATAATTGTACCGGCTAAACCGTGACGTCACGCGCTAATGAGACAGCTTGAGTATTTATGGATCTTAGTTTATCCCATTAAACAAAATAAAAAAGAATCTGATACGCTTCATTATTAAGTTTTTGTATGAATGGCCTAACACCAGCGCTCTAATTTAAAAAAAAAATAATAGGCAACTAATAGCATAAAATTCATAATAGAACATGATAGCCGTGTATAGTCGATATTGGTTATTGGTTAGTAATATATTTGACATAAAATTTAGATATGTT